TTGTTGGATTTGATCTGCTGCAGCAATTTGCATGGATTTTTAGACGGCAATAAAACCAAAGACGTTGAGGTTGATGGAGCGTTGTCTTTTCTAGAGAATGGCATGTGCCCTTTTAAGGAGAATATTCGAGAGTGCTTGGAGATAGGTTGTGCCGCGGAATTGCAACTGTTTTAGTGCGTTATCATAGTGATTTCAAGATTTGATTTGATATAAACATTCTTTTCTGTGCTGATTACAGATGACGACGAACAACCGTATCACTCAACCGAATGTCTCCTGAGTCTGGTGACGCCTGAACTTGGCTCATTGGTGGAGCATTGGTTAGCGGCATTGCGAGATTCCGCTTTGCTATCGTTACCGTCCGAATTCGCCTCACAACTACCGCCAAACGGCGGTGCGTATTACGCACCCGAAAGCGCCGATGTTCGTATTGTCTCTATCACATAATTTCCAATCCATTCATGAATTATTTTGTAAATCAGTTTGAAATGTTCGATTTATATGACAAAGTCGAGAAAATATGTCGAAATTTTATTTCGTTGAGTGAAAAAATTCCGTTGAATAGTTCACATTCAATCAAGAAATAAGCGATGAATTTTTTCAGTCGTGTAAGGAGTATTATCGATCAAGTTGGCCTCCCATATTACTGGCAGCTGCAACATGGTTGAGGCAAAGTAATTTTGAATTGCCAACCAACTCACATGAGGTTGGTTGTCTTTATTCATTTATTTGAATTGACGGAATTCTTGTATGCATATTTTGAATCGTTCAGTTTGAATTCTTCAGATTTTCAATTCAGTGTGCTTTAAAATTTGAGCAATTTGTTAGTTCGGTGACTTTCGTCACTGTTGTTGAGTTGCAAGTTGTTTTATTCGAAGAAGTCATCAATGAGTGTGTTTTGTTTAAGTCGTTCTTTTAGCAGTTTGTTTCGTTGAGGTGACTGTAGCAACATTCGATCATTCAACTGCATCAGTAGTATATTGCCTTGTAGAAGAAAAATTGTGTTCAGAATTGTGTTCGGAACAAAAACATTTTCAATCGATGTTGGCCTTTAAACCGAAATCATTTCAGACTGATACAAAGAATGCGATGAACTCATCGAAAGAGACACATTTCTATGTAATGTTGGGCATTTGCGTTGAAGCGCTCTGCTCGAATCGATCTTATTCGGAAGGTGACCAGACCGTGCAGGTTTGCTTTTAGCAATTCCGATTACTCACCACCTAATTATTGACCTGGCTTTCAAATGTTGAACGTATTGCCACGGAAAAGTTTCAACTTTAAAAAATAATTGAGAGTTGTGTTGAAGGAAATGAGCTCAAATGATTGCCTAAGTGGCTTATTTATTTGGATTATTTATTGTTAGCTTCTTTATCAAGTGGGGCGAATTTCATTTGATATAAGTTTCGTTTCGATTCATTTGAAAGCATCGGTGCATTGAGTACGAGTTCTGTGCCGTGGCTCCACGAGAATCTGTATAGGATATGATAGCGATGTGGTATTAAAGAACACTTGACGATAAATTGTTAATATACATTCGATTGGTTAAGTTGTGTCTGCGATCGTTAAAAAGTCTGCTGGATTGTGATTGGGCAAGAACGCAGCTGATGCGAAATATACGATTACCAATTGAACTGCTGAATGTATTGTATAGGTGAGTTTATGATCGTTATGCTTCAGTTATATTTGATGCGATATTTTGTCTGTTATGTGATGAAATGAGCCGGTAACTTATCTATCGCCTGTAATATCGCAACAAATCGCAATTTTAGACTGATCTTAACGAGAGATAATCTT